TAGAATGTTACATTTATATATATATATATATACATATATATATATATGTGTATATATATATATATGTATATGTATATAAAGCCTTAGTCAAATATTTAAGGAAGGCAGAAGGCAGCCCCAGTGTCCTGTAACAGGTATACAACCATCTCCTGGATTTTCAAAACAAGCTGTTTTGATCACTGCCATTTTCAGTCCATTTGTTGACCTGTTAAGTAGCACTTATAAAGCAAATACACTTTTAGGCAATTTCTTCCATGAACCGGTAAGGTTTATGAATTCTTTAAGTTAAATTAAAATTTCCCTGGGTGTATCCTACGGAAATTTCAAACTTGATTAAAAACACCTTGCAAATAAGCACATTCAAATAAGGCATTGAAGGCAAACATACAAACACAGAAGATGCTTAAGACTATGCCTGGATCATAATTAGTTGCTTTCCCATTTTTGCTGGTGTTGTTTTTAAAAAGTAAATAATATCCCAAATCCTGCCCTCGCGCTATAAAAGTCAACACTGACTCTAACATCTGGAGTATTTAGCTTCTTCTAAGACTACTGAGCCTACTCTTGCTCTGCCAGGCTCATCTTTTGCCATACAAGAGTAAGGTGGCAGAGGATTTGAGTCCCTTAGTTGAAGATTTCTGAAATAATGGTAAATATTGCCTTTCTGTTTCTGGATGAGATGATGCAACTCTAAAATCAGCTGCACTTCCAAACCCAAATTTCCCTTATGTCTACAATACTACCTTAAGCAGAGTTCAGATAACAGGTAGTTTTTTTTTTTTTTTTAAGTGACTTGTTCACTTTCCTGAGACTAAAGAAAACATGTGAGAAAACTCTCAACCTGGGAAACTGCATTGTAAAATAAACAAATCACATTATTGTTTGGAGAGCTGTCTCAGGAAGACTGTCGTCCTGCTTGGCAAATAGCAATAACATTCAGAAACTAAAATGGCACATCACTCTTGTACTTAGAGGATAACTTATGGCTTAAATGTTCCTAGGGTGGCAAGATTCCCATCCGGTGGACTGCGCCAGAAGCAATTGCCTATCGTAAATTCACCTCAGCAAGTGATGTATGGAGCTATGGAATCGTTATGTGGGAAGTGATGTCGTATGGAGAGAGGCCCTATTGGGATATGTCCAATCAAGATGTAAGTCTTCCTGTTCTGAAATATAGGTCTCTACATTGAGATTCAGGATATTTCACGTTAGTCTATGATAGAGTGAGGAGGGAACTTGAAATAATGCATGAAACATCAGCTCCTTAGAATAGATGTGTCTCGGTAATCTAGGCAAACCTATGGTCCTGGATTCCAAGGACCAAAATTACATAGTCTAAATGGTATAGTTTGGGACATAATTGAAGTAGGAGGGAGGGTTAGAGAGAGGGAAATGGGTAGATTCTTAGATGTACAGGTTGATCGGTTAGTGATTGGAAGAGTGTTTTTACTTGGTGCACTTTCAAACTCATACTGACAAAACTAAATTTTGGATTTTAAGAAAAGGAAATGAAATATATAAAAAAACAAATTTCACTTGTGATAAAATTGACATGAAAGGCTTACTAGAAGAAAACTAGTGAATGTTTTAAAGCTGACATTGTTGTAATTAGAGCTTGCCCCTGAGAACTCTAAAGTAAAGCTTCACTAAATGACCCTTTGTAAATTATGCACATCCCTTTAAATGTACCATCTGGACCACTTCGTAAGGGAGTATCCACAATCTTTGCAATTTCAGAAAAGCATTCAATAATAACACTAATAAGATTCCAGAGTAATAGAATTTAATTACAAACATCTCCAGTGAGAGGGAAAAAAAAAACTTGAGACCAGAGTATCTTCCTAGAACACTTAGGAGCTCATTTTGGAAAGATTTTAGTTAGTTCTAGGAGGATTAGAACTGAGATCAAAATCAAGTGACCACCTGAACTGTCCTATTTTTTTTTTTAATTTAATGTGTGAAATGGGATATTAGCATATTGTTTACGAATGCATGTTCTCCAGTTTATCAGTAAAAATTATATTTCAGAAAAATTTTCTTTAAGTTTCTTTTCTGACATAGACTTATTTGATCATCTGACTTGAAATAACAAATCATTGTGAGGAGACCTTAAGGGCTACATGACGAACCAGGCGCCTTTAAGAACTAGGATGCTGGTTGCTTTATTAATAAAAGAATGTTGAGAACCATAGAGAAGCTTATACACTCCATGTCTAGTGGAGCAAAAAGGTAGAGGAAAGGTAGTGTTGACATTGTATTAACTGTAAATTATAAAGGAAGGTTTATAGCAGATGGGAGGAAAGATGACAGCTAGCATAACTGATAGATAATTACAGTCTGGAAGAAGGCTGGAAGGGGAAAGACGTGTGATCTATTATTGCTGGGTGTGACTGTGCTGTGTAGACACCTTTATGTAGCTTCTCACAGCCACATTTGGTTTCCAGTTAGCAATGCTCAGATGGACAATAGCAAACTAAACAAGTAAGGAGTATGTTCACTTACGAGTAGAATAAAGATGTCAGTGTTCCTGCCTTAAGTATTTTCAAACATAATTTTGACAGTTTCTGTAGTACTCAAGACAGTTTTTGTTATCTTGAACTTTTAGTTGTCCGGCTTCATCTAGGAGAAGGCATCTGAAGGTATTTCTCCCCCACAAATAATATTGATTCATTGCTGAGGAGCATTTGTCTCTGTGCTGGGCTCCCTAGGACAGGAATCAATAGAAATGCAACTGGAGAATTTCATGAATAGCATCAATTTGGCATATGGTGAATGGAGTTAAAGTAACTGTTGAAAATATGTCAAACTTAACAAGTTTTTTGTTTGTTTTAATTCTCATCTTCCTCCCCTCACTCCCAAACAGTGATCAATAAACTGAAAAAAAAATATGCTTTGTTAGCCCACAAGCCTCCCTCCAAGCTGGCATTGGGTGGGGAGCTAAGGAAAGAGTATTAAGCTGCCTGAAGGGTGATAACAAATTGTGTTACCCTGGCATCAGCTCAGATTTGTTTGTATTCTCATCAACTCTGTGTAAAATTTTTTCAGCGAGTCTAGAGTCAAAGCCATCTACCCAGAAAGGTCAAAGCGAGGGTCAAACAGACCCAGGATAATTTCCAGGAAGAAAGACGAAAATGCTCAGGTAGATATCATAGACAAGTTTACTGCAGAAGGAAGTGCCAGGTAACACTAACACAGTAGAGCAGCGGTACATATCCGTGAGAGAAGAATGATCAGAGGATTTAATAAATCATAAGATGATCGTGACAATATGCTAGTTAGAAGGACGAGTCATTCTGACACATGGAAACTGGACCCATTTCACCTGTTGAAGGTCAACAGTTGAGCAGCAGTGGCCCCACCTGCCTGCTGGTGACTGCAGTCACACCTGTGTCACCAGCAGCTGTCACTGGGTTAAGAAAGGAAAAAGGGACTGAGAATAAAGAATAAACTTTTCTAAAATCCCCAAACAAAAGCACCTCCAGAATCTCATAGATCCCCATAAACACAACTTGAATGGTCAAGAAATTATGAAGTCGCTCTCCTCTTAAAATTTGGCATGTCCATCCATAATACATTATAGGAATCACACCTTGAAGAGGGATTTAGAGAAAACCCAGGACAAAAGATATTGCAATGCCTATGCAGATAGATTTTAAAAATTAGAATTAGGAGAAAGACAAGCCAATGAGTTACTTATGTCCTATTAGGCAGGGAAACTTCTGGGCAATGCAGCACTTATCAGCTATCATTAGCATTTCTTTCCTATCACTAGCATGTAAAAGTGTCCCCTTTAAAATGTAAATACCCACAATATTTACTCTTTTTTTTTTTTTGCTAATAATGTTATAAGTCTGTTTATTTTAATCTCTGAACAGGGTTAATTCACAGCCAACTGAGACCAAGCGAAAGATTTAAAGTTGCTATATTCGTTTATCTTGGTCTGCCAAAAGTAAAAGTGGCCAGGTGCTAGTGCAGTAACACACAGTGTCCCTGGACTGAAAGGTCTGGAGGTAGCTCTGCTGCTGACCAAGAAGACGCTTGGCCAAAGTGCCAGGATCGTCCGAGCCAGGGGACTCGCAATGCTGTCATGCGACTTCAGCCTAGAGGCAGCTGTCACCTGCTTCTCAGGAAGGTCCTAGCACTAGGCTCAGTGTTCGCTGACACTGAATAGCAGCACACGGAAGCTCCCAGCTGTGTGCTCTCAGGCCATACCAGCACCGCGTTCCTGACCTAATTGGGTTCTCACCACCGTGAAGATGGACACATCTTCATCGCAGGACTCAAACTGGCAGAGCCATCTGACAGTACCTCAGAGCAACGCCTGGCTCCCCTTCCCCGGCTGCCAGCAGAACTCAGGCCCAGTTTTGGCTTCTCTGAAGGGCTTGGAGGAGTTCCCACGCTCCAGCCTGCTGGCAGCTTCGTGGGCCGGGAACACGCAGCCTGCGGGGGTGAACCTCTGACAACAGCTTGCCTGGCAGCTTCACGGACTTTTCTGTTTTCTTCGATAGGTGATTAAAGCCATCGAGGAAGGCTACCGGCTACCCCCGCCCATGGATTGCCCCATTGCTCTCCACCAGCTGATGCTAGACTGCTGGCAGAAGGAGAGAAGCGACAGGCCTAAATTTGGGCAGATTGTCAACATGTTGGACAAACTCATCCGCAACCCCAACAGCTTGAAGAGAACGGGCACCGAGAGCTGCAGGTCAGCCATGCTTGCTTAACAGTGATGGATGAAAGGCTGTATTAGAGGTGGCAGGCAAGCGGAGCTCACTTTCATTCCTGCTTTTTAGTCAGAGGCCACATCATAGTTCTCTGCAACCTGGGTGGCTTTTCTCTCAATTAGCAGAGTATTTATGGTAGTCATTATTTGCCATTTTGAAAAGCCCAAGACTGATTGGGTCTCATAGTACGGAGAAAAGAAATTGTTTGGGGACTGAAAGGAGTAGTCAAAAACATATTTTATGATGCTGGACTTGATATTTAAGAAAAGGGATGAAATGCACTTTTGTGGGATGTTCAGGTGACTAGAGGCTATATTTTTAAAAGGAAAAAAAAAGTCTTGTAAAGTGTTAATTGTATTGAGCATTTCATTAGGTTTCAGCTCTTAAAGTTTCTCTTTTCTTTCAAGTCTTTCAAGAGTAGAAGGAAACAGGGCCAAGATGGAAACTGATCAAGTGCAGATGAATGGTTGAGAAGGGTTTTGAAAAGCAAAAGGACAGAATTGCTTGTAAAAGCGGTAGCTATTTCATTGGAACGAGAAAAATGAAGAAACATATCAGTGCAAAGGAAGACAGAGATATGCCAAGCCCTAGGCTTCAATAGGGACTTTTTTGCATAGAGGTCGGGTGTAAGTTTCAGGATCCCTAGACACTAGCCCCTTCCGAAAGTCAAAGTATTTAAGAAGACCGGTACAATAAAGCTAGGTGAATCAGACCTGTGCGAGATCTACTCATCTCCAAAGCAGAGCCACTCAAGGGCTTTTTCTTTTATCATGACTTGAGTTAAAAATAGGAAGACATTTTCCCATGATATCCAAGCCCTTCCAGTCTCGAGCAATACCGCACTGGTCTTTCCTGAATCTTAGCCTACAGATCACTAGCGAAGGCATATCCTTGTTCAAATATGTGAAAAAGAATTTGGAGTAGGCAGCAGAGATTTGCAGATCCTTAGCATTCACCACACCACAGAGAACTTAATGGTCAGGCTCTCCTGAACGGTCACTAGGTTGCTACTTGGGAGCGTTGTGACCTAAAAAAGTCTAACATTTTGGCGCTCTCTCTCTTTCTATTCTATTTTCCAAAAGCGTGAGAATAGATGGCTTGTATAGCCCCTTTTCTAGGTGAAGCTGGCTTATTTCTATTCCAAGGTACACCCCCTCCAGTTTTTCGATCTCCACTTCCAAACCAACTCTGAAGTTCCCTAAGCCCAGTTCTCTGGTGCTTGGTGCTTCTCCTGTTAGGAAACTGCTCAGCAACTACTAGTGCATAATGTGGACTTTGCATCCAGCTGCAGAACAAATTGAGTTATTGGATACACTTTTCTCAATTCCAAATTTTTTCTCACTGATGGTACTTAAGTGGCTTTGATGCTTATTACTGTTTCCTGATAATAGGATGTAGTATAACATGGTATGCAACTCAGCACAAAATTAGAGACATGTCATGGTGTTCCATCAAGATTGCAGAGACATCCAGAACAAACTTGAAGAATGACCCTTAGAGTTAATTGAAATTGAGTTGCAGATATTTTCATCCCAAGGTCGTTTTGACCTTGTCAGCTACCTAGATGCTACACATCACCTTTTTAATGATTTTGGTATACAGATATAAATGCAAGTATTTGTATTAATACCATAATGTAATTAGTAATATTACATTACTTTTAACTAATATTTACAGTTCTAGATGTGATAGTTTAACTTTTAACTAATATTTACAGTTCTAGATGTGATAGTTGTTGACTTAATACTGGGAATATAATTAAATCTTGATTATTCATACTATAAAAGCTGCAGAATTGGATTCATTGAAATAATGGACATAGAAAAGGTCACAAAATCAAGTTATTATCCAGACACTAAACTACATAATAAAACAAGTTTTTGTTAAAATACTTACATAAAAAGGATGCAAGTAAATCAAAATAATTGAGGTAAAATGGAATTGTATTAACTCTGCTATGTAGAATATTAAACCATTACATTGACTCTATTTTGTTTTCACCAGAAAAGAATTTTTTGGCTGAAAGTTTAGTAATGGTGATATAAACCTAATTAAAATGTTTATGTGCAATCAGTATAGTCTCAGGATGAACACTGGGTCAAAGTGTTAAGATCAACCCCATTATTTAAATTTTAGGGAAAAGAAAAGCTCAGGAAAATATAACTTCATTTTGTAGAAAAGTTGCTATACAAGTTGTTACAACAGAGGCGATATAAAATGTGCCCTAATGGCTTACCTTCTGTTTATTAAGTAATTTGATAATGACAATGAGCATCATTCTTTTAAAAATACTTTCCATCTAGAGATGATTTATTGCATATCAATATGCAAGAATGACAGAATTCCTGCCTTGAACGAGAGTTGTGCTTAATAGTGACCTACTATAAAACACCTGGCCTAAGACATGCATAAACTAATAAATAAGTTAATAAGAAGTGCTTAAAATTTGTTGAAATGACTATTTAGGAGCTCCAGCCCGGGAATATGAAAAGCACATTCCAGAGTGCAGACGCTGATCAAAGTGGCTATTCTTCCTGCCGGTCTTGGCACACGTGCTGGTCAGACATGGGTTGATTAAAGAGGGGATTAACTCCCTGCTGTCCCAAGTTTGTTTGAATGCACTGAGCCTGCCTGCAGAGCTGGCTAGAAGCATGCTGGACTTGAACTCTTGCTGTTTTCTCTGCTTCCATCAAGTCTGGCAGGTTACAGGCCCACAGATTCCCTTACTCATACTTCACTAGGGTTTCCATAGTTGCCGAAGTAAAGTCTGCGATATTCAGCGCTGGCAGAGAAGGGGCGCTTTCTGCAAAGACTGAACAGGTTCCAACTAGTAGGGCACCCCAATCTTTACCCCAGGCTAGGATGTTCAAAAGACCCACTCTGATCATTTATGCCCCAAGAGGTCCACAGAAAGCAAATGCAGGCAATGGAATTAAGAACAAATAGAGGGATTGACATCTGCCTCAGCAGCTTTGTGAAATGAGGGGCAGATCACCATGTGATGATATTTAATGATGGATTTTCATCCAATGCCTGCTCTTGCTATTTCAGCTCTCCCTGTGTGTCGCAGGCGATCTGCTTGAGTCTGGCTCTCTCAACAGTAGTTCTCATCTGTCTGTACTTTCCCATTCCATTTTCAGACCTAACACTGCCTTGTTGGATCCAAGCTCCCCTGAATTCTCTGCCGTGGTATCAGTGGGTGATTGGCTCCAGGCCATTAAAATGGACCGGTATAAGGATAACTTCACGGCTGCTGGTTATACCACGTTAGAGGCTGTGGTGCACATGAACCAGGAGTAAGTACTCAGCGATGTAACACGAAAGGGTAAATCTAGATTTAATAGTATTTTTCTTTTATTTTTTGCTTTGAGCTGCATAATCATCCTACTCATTTAAAAAAAAAAACACACACACACACACGGAATGCCTTTCATTTTGATTGAGTATAATTTTACACAGCCGCTATAAAGCACCTACATTGTTGCATTAAATTGCTTAATGAAACATTTTAATACACCTGCCTGTTGTGCCGTATTAATTGTGGCTGATTCAAATGTGTGTTTGCATGAAGCCCAGAAACGAGAGGCTCAGCCCCATGACTGTTCTCTCCCTCTGTTCTCACCCCAACCCGCAGTGACCTGGCAAGAATTGGCATCACGGCTGTCACACACCAGAATAAGATTTTGAGCAATGTCCAGGCGATGAGAACCCAAATGCAGCAGATACATGGCAGGATGGTTCCTGTCTGAGCCAGTACTGAATAAACTCAAAACTCTTGAAATTAGTTTACCTCATCCATGCACTTTAATTGAAGAACTGCACTTTTTTTACTTCGTCTTCGCCCTCTGAAACTAAAGGAAAAAAAAATCTGCAGCGTGGCTTGGTGTACAGATTGCTGAACTTGTGGGGCTCACAGAAATGACGAGCGTCATTGGAACTCGACCTGGAACAAATTGTTTCTCAGAAGTCCTGTCCATCACCCGTGTGTAAAATACGTGTATCTATAGGAATACAGCACCGCCTCCTGCGTGGATGCGTTCTTGCTGCCGGACGCTGGGCTTCTTCGCCGAGACGTCTCTCCATTTGGAATTACAACTATACGCTTTCATTTGTGGCATAAACTAACCGGCAACCTTCTTTCACTGGAATGAAGACTGTGTCCAGGAACATTTTTGAAGGACTTCGTTGTAGCTCTTAAGGCTTGGTTCATACCGTGGGGGGGGACGGCGGCGGGGCCACCTAACTCATCAGTGTGGGTCCTTCAGGCCACCTGGTGGATCAGGAAGACAGGAGGGGCTGGAAGGAACGAAAGTGGCGCGAAACTCACCAACACTACTGCTCCTAAAGGCGCGCCCAGCCCCTCCCTGGGCAGACGGGGTTTGTTTGGGGCCTGGGCTGTGCGGTAGAAAGTCTCCCTGGGAGACTCCACAGACTCATCCTAGCTGCCTGGTGGATAGTGGACTGTGACAATCTTGAATAGGGAACTTTCACACTTTCCTCCTTTGAAGAAGCAGAATGGAGTCGACAGGGTAAGTCATGAGAACCCCCCATGGGTCTTTCTTCATCAAGAACTTTTTTTTTTTTTTAACATATCCAGAACGAAACACTGCTCACGAATAGTCTTTCTCAACTCTCGTGTAGTTTCGTTCTTTCATGATTTGGTGTTCTCCTCAGAGAAAAGCAGGGTCTGAACACAGTATGCCGCCTCTGCTGTTCTCCTGGAAGCGAGGAAACTGGAACCGCCTGGGGTCAGGTTTAGGAAAGGACTCCTAGAAAGACTACTTAGTGATTGTGGCTTCTCTTCTTCCCAACAGGGTCCTCTGACCTGTTGGGGTCATTCTGGCCCGTCACAACACCCAGCTAGGTGGTCATTTCTAACCGGGGCGCCCCCCACCCCTGCTTTCATGGATAAGTGCTGCAGCTTCTTCTCACTGATCTCACATGCTGCCCTGCCCTGTACCTGCCAACTGGGGGTGGGGGGGGTCATCTGGCTGTCAGTGGTGAGGCTTGGCCCTCACCCTCACGATCACAAAGTGACCTGCTACACAAAACATGCTTTTCATCCCCATTTACCTCCGATGCTTCATTTTAATCCTGGAATTCCCTTCTTGAAACTAGTGAATGAAATGCCTTTGTTTATTCCTAGAAGTAAATGGGTTACCTTTTGTGACTGGACAAATTTTAACTTTTTAAAATAATTTCATTTTTATCCTCTTACAATGAGAGCTTTGCTGATGTTAGTGACCTTTTAGCCTCTTTAGTTTTATCTTGAAAGCTATTTCCTATAGAGAATGTTAAATTTGATGCTGTCAAATCATGACAGTTAGTAAAAACCTTTTTGTAGCTTTAGTTGTAAAAGCTTTTCTGTTCAGAAAGAATGTGAAATTTGGTTTTTAAGCTACTGCAACAATTTTTGTTTCATCACCTCTTTTGCTCAAGTCTGAGGAATTTGTATATTTGTGTTAAAGTGGATAAATGTGCTGTGGGGTTTTTTTGTTGGCTTTTCAAAATATGTACATATTTTTGATTTCAGCAAAAGCAAGGAATATTTTGTTTTTAATCTCCACAGTCCAAATAATATATCAGCTTGGCAGTGCTTTATATGCTGCGACAAATGTACATTGAATAAGAATAATTAAAAGTATTGTTTTCCTATCGTCAACACCTGAAAAGCTAAGGCATTTTCCTAAGCATTGAACATACCCAACACAAAACAATTCAGGAGAGGGAAGTTGCCAGTTCTGAGATATCCCAGCTAGTGGGTGCTGTTTGTGGTGCTGGAGTCAGGTCCACACTGCTCCCCAAATGTCTGTACATGAACAGTCCACCAAAAACCCCATGGAAGGTGGAATGTGAAATCTGATTTCATATAAAGTGATTGCCTTCAAAATCTTAATTAACACAAATGTGAGGTAAAGTACATGGAATGGAATGGTCGAGAAGAGGGCTTTCAAGTGTTCAGTCCCCAGTAGCAGCAATAGTGTTCTCCCTACATCCATAAATTTCTCTGCTTAGAAGAGGAAAGTGAGGACAAAAGGGAGTCACATCCCTTCCAAGCATGGGGCCAGGCTCCGGCCCCATCCAGTCGGCTCTGGACCATAAACCTGGCTGCAGTGTTGACACTGGGAAAGACACTCCCTGTTTCTTTATACTGCATCCCTCCACCTGGCAGGTACAGGTAATGACACTTGAATAACAACCCCGCTCCTAAGGTATGGCGTTATTATATGAGGATATGAAATCTCCTCTGCAGAACATGTGCACTTGTGAGAAGAAAGGTGCACTCTTCCCTCAAAAGTGTCACTCATCCATCTCTCACTTGCAAACCCAAATGGTGTATTGCAACATGCCTTCAGTGGTGGGGAGCCAGGCCAATGAAGCTGCCTCACTTTAAATGGATGCTTGTGGGTTTGGGGATGAAGATGGATCTCTACAAAACAGATACCAGTGCACTCACTCCTGAAATTGTTACTGCACAAGTGGAAAGAGTGAAATGTACAAGGAAGACCTCAGGGCCTAGGAGAGCCTGGCTGCTGGAGACACTCTGGTGCTGTCATGGCTGACTCAGGGTGCCATGCTTTGTTCCTTGGGCCCCAAATGGTATCCTCCACACTTCTTCTGGTTGTCGACTAAGCTCCAAGGGAAAGGCACTACCTAAATTCAAAGGAGTTTCTATTTCTCCACTCTTTCTGGAATCAATAGCTGCCACATGTTCATACCTGTCTCTTCAAGTTCATAGGAAATATTAAGTCCCCGCATTTCCCACTTGATGTGACAGCTATGCATATATGTAGTTATCTGGGGAATTAATTAAGAAAAGGTTGACAGAATAAAAGAGGACAAGTATATTTTTGAGACTACTCTTCGAGAGAATTTCCAATAGCCTAGCAAAATCAACTTCAGGAAGGTTTGTGAGTCGTTCACGGAGTTCTGGTTGCAGTCCCTTGTGGCCTCACGGTCATATTCATGTACTTCTTTCATACAAGCACATGCTTGCCTGATGCAATCTCTGGACCTGTTTGACTTCCTGATTCCCAGAGAGTACATAGTTGCAAAATATGTCCATCTAATAATCCCCTGTTATTTTTCTGTGATTGTCAAAATGAATGATGTCGACAATCAGTTTCTTGAAGATGCTTGTGGCTACACCCTTACTCACATTTACAATTTTAAATTCTATCTGAGTAATTTTGAGAAAAACTTTATTTCTGTCTCTCCAAATAGACAAAAATGAGCTTGTTTATAATTTAAATAGCAGTTGTTCACCTCAGAGAAATTAAACTTTATCTATCTCCTTCCCTCAGTAAAAAACCCTTGAATACACACAACGCAGGGTATATTTTGATCTCAGTTCTGCTCTACAGTTGACACCAATTGCCATACACAGCTAGTACAGGGGTGGCTGGAGATAGTTGAACAGGCCACTGTGAGGGGCAGTTATAAAAATGTGAAAGAGGAAAAATTGCTTCTTTGACTTGGTTATTTGACCAATGAGAGCAACATGGTGATCCATGGCATCATGCCAGCTCCGTTGATTCCCAGACTCATGAGCAACTGTAGTTGATTAGTTTTTTCTATGCTGTTGGGAAGCTTGTGCCCCGTCCCTAGGCCTCCCTCCCTTGGCCAAACATGTCTCTCCCTGTACCCTGCTCTGGGATCCTGCTTCCTGTTACCTGCAGATAACCTGTGAATCCTTTATTAGGAGCTCTCCCCTTCACTCCGAATGGCTTTTCTTTTTCATTCATCATTGTTGAGTTTTGATGGATTGTGACATTTCCAGAGTTGTCTCCTAGATATACAATTCCCCTCTTTGGAAAAAGTGGAGCTTAGAATCTAGGGTTTGTCACAATACAGTTTACCTTTGGCATCCTCTCACCAGCCCTAAGTCCTTCATCTTGCACAACTTCAATGAATGCAATTCAGAATTTATATTCTAAGAGAGACTGTTGCTGTAGTGGTAAAAAACAAGATGGCAGCCTCGCTTCTGCTGAATGCCTGACCTTGAACACGTTGCTTAGCCTTTTTATACTTCAGTGTCCTCACGCACATACAGTGTCCTCATCCACATCATAAGGATGAGAATAGTAACTTTCTCAGAGTTGTTAGAATTTACACATTTGTTACTCTACTTTTCATTTCTCAGAGGAGGGTACTAAGAATCCAAGGTCTCCCTGAACTATTTCTCACTAAGCCAGAACAGTTTCTGAGGCGAATAACTGGCAGCCCATTTGGATTGATGTTTTGTCTAAAATCTTGTTCTTTTCTCTGCAGGGAGTCGATTCTGGTATCTTGACCTCACAGCCCTTCCTGTTGATGACAAAAAGCCCTCAGAAGAATACAGAACACACCCTCCGCACTTCCTTTGAGATGTGTTTCTTCTGCCTCTGCTATGCCAGTTCTGGAGCAAAGACACTGATGAAGCAACACCCGGACCTGAAAAGAGTCAATGTGTGACTTTCAAACCCCCTCTGCCAGTGAAAGAAACAGCAAACGCTCACGCTTCAGCCTCTGTCATCCAGTTGCACTGAGGAATGTACTGGATCGAAGCACCAGCTCTGCCGAGCCCTTGTTCCCAAACTCCTTGTGGTTTTATTTATCTATTTCCATATCTTCTTCCTGTACGTCACTGCTGCATTGGTGTGGCAGCAGGTACCCAAGGCTACAGGTTTTACTATGGACGCCGGGTCAGGTGCCACCCACCAAACTAAGCCAGTTCCCATGAGCTGCCTACGATATGCATTGCTGAAGTAACATTTTACCCAGGGTGTGCCATTGCAGTGATATAAATATATTTTTTTCCTAGACTAAATATGAGCTGACTATCTCTTTTGCTGTGTGTACATAGGTGTGAGTGTGTGTGTACACGCGTGTGCTGTGTGTGTGTGTGTGTGGGTAACTTCCTGCTTAGAATTGCCTGTGAATGTGTGGAATGCTGCACCTGAGGGTTCTGGTTTTCCACCAGTTCTGAGGTGAAGCGTCGCATGAGCTAGTGGGCCTGGAGACCGTGCCCGTCCCCTTGGTAAGGCAACCCGGAAACGTTCCACGTCTTGTATCTAGAAGTGTATTTTAGCTGCCACACTAACCTTAATGAGTAATTCTACAGCTTTGAGCAGAGGCATTTTCACCTTAGCGGTGAAGTAATTTCAGCATCTAAACCCATTCAGGTGACAACCCATCATCCAAATCACAAATTCTGATGGAACTCCTCATCTGGATCACCAGTTCCTTGATGGAGGGGGTGGGGGGGGCGGAATGTGTCTGGTAACCCCAAATGGAATACAAGTAGCCTTTGTTTTCCTGCATAAATGGACTTGTCGAATGCGAACAAATATATGCAATTCATAAACTTCCAGAGATGAACATAGACATGTGTGTCAGCTTTGTGGTGCTGTGTCCTGGATTAATACTTTGTCTCCCAATGTCACAGAAAAATACATGCCAGTGACTCTTGAGGTTGGCATAGTTGGGATTAAATGCCCTCAAGCAATTTCAGGTTTCCAGTTTACGCGGAATGTCCTACAGGTATTAATACGCAGTTAAATCCTTGGGCCCTTCTAGAATGTATGACCTTGAGCACGTTGCATCTGCCTTCTAGAATCTGAGGTCTGATGTGTGAAAATTGAGTTTTGATAGGGTAGGTATACCAAACTCCAGCCAACATACTGCCATTTTTCATAACCTGAGTGGCTGCCTTGATTATTCTAAGGAATGGTTGCTGCCATGGTGGCCATTTATATAAGCTATGACATCAAATCAGGGAACAATGGGGAAAAAAAGATTCTGAACACTATGTCGTTGAATCAGTAGAGAAATTCAATAAATATTTATTACATTCTGACAGGGTGTATGGCATTGTATTCTTAGAACTATGCCAGAGTGACAAAGTTAATGCACCCCTTTTGGGGGACTTTAATATATTTTTAAAGGGATGTGCCTATGCATTGATGCCTGAACAAATGTGGATGAAGTGAGGTTGAACCTCTGAGCAGATCTTCTCTCTCCAGAGGTCAGGGCAGGCCGATGACTGGGGCTGTGTATAGCACCATGAATGCGGCCTGCTGAGCCCAGAGGTGGCTTCGTGCTCAGATTGGCCTAAGGCAGCATTCAGCTGTTCCAAACCAAGTAGCTTCACCATGTGTCCGCTGGCCCCAAATTATTTTTAACAATCTTATGAATGAAATGTTCTGGTGTGTTTAAAAACGTTATTTTTAAGACAGGTTGTGCTCACCACACGGCTGGTGTGTGTGTTTTGAGATGGCTTGTCTTTGATCTGTGAAGGGTACGTGTATTAATCCATACACGCTTATAGCCTCAACCTTTGTCTGAAGAAACTTAAATTCTGACCAGTAAAGGAAAGTTCTAGAAGCAATATTTTCACTTATTTAACATTCTCCAAACAACATCAAACATTGATATGCACTGAAGAGTGCATTTATTTTTTGTATCACTCCAAGTATGTTGGAATATGCAAGGACTGTGGTTAAAATTAGAATGTATAAGGCATATTATAATTTAGTTCATACTGAAAAAGAAATTAACAGAACATTGCTTGGTTTATACATGTTCCGAAATTTGAATGATCTCTTGAGTTAGACATAGATTTTCTATTTTGTTTTAATTTGTCAAGGTATTTTTCTTCCCTTCATGAACTTTAGGTACACATAACTTATGTCATTTATTTATGGTCTTTTATACCTAGTTTGTAAAATTGTAAAATAGCAAACTAAATGCAAAGAGTTTGCATTTGAAAATAATAAAGTAGTTGCTGTATATGAACCTCGAATCTACTCGTTTCTGTTCACAAATTTTTACCACATGTGGGATGTTTTTGAATTAATGAATTGTTGGTTGTCATTTGATTGAATAATATAAGATCAAAAATTCTAGTTGAACCTAGTTAGAATATCAAAAACATTGACTTCTCGATGATTTTGCCTTTGAGAACAAACCTTAGAAAATCTGACTTGGGTTCTGTGAGATCCTGTATCCCATTGTTCCTAAGACCATGAACTTGTTTGCAATCCTGACTCTATCGCTTACTGCTGGTACAAATCTACATCATGTCGCATAAACCCCTGTACCCATTTCTTTATATGGAAACTGGCAATGGCAATGCAAAGAGCTTTCTTTCTTTTTTTTTTTTTCAAGGTTTATTTATTTATTCATACAGAACTGGGCTTCAGGCCAGAGGTACAGGGGCAGTGAGTGGATTCACTAGAGACAGAGTGGGGAGCAGAACAGGCAGATCGATGAATCATACTGCTGAGGAGAGCAGCGGGTCAGGAGAGGTCTGCTAACCATGTGGGTCACCTCCGGGCCAGGAATCCAACACACACTGTGATGGCTGTGGCCAGTTTGCAGTGCTGTGTCCTAACCCATTGTGCTACTAGGGAGGGCCTACCAAGAACTTTTTAAAGACTTCATATATGGTGTTAGCCCAGTGTCTAGCATCTAGCTAGATCTCCACAAATAGTAGCTATTTGCAGCTATTCTCATATGGAAACTTCTGGAGATTAAAAGTGTCTCCCTTAACATACTAGGTTCTGTAGCCTCTCTAACATCTTTGCTGATCAACTGACCTGCTACCCATTCTTAGCATGGGCTTCTGTGACCCTTGGTGAGGGTGTATATATTAATGATCATACGTATATTGTGTATTGATGGGAAAAGTTTTAGTAAGCAAACTATAAATTGATTCAATCCCTGCTAATTGAAAATCAGATTCAAGACCAAATTCATTAACTAAAGCCCTTAAGGAGCCCAGGCTGTGCTCTGTCCTCATGTCACCAGGGGCACCTTCAAATACGGACCTTGAAATGAAAACAACCTGTTAAATTTGGTGACTTGGTGTTTATTTCCTTCTAAAGCATCTCTAGGATTAGCAGCAGTATTGTGTAGGGTAATGGGCATTTGTGGTCTGAAAGATACTAAATTTGGTGTTTTCTCCCCCACTTGTTTAGCAAGATAGAAACTCAACTGTATTTGCCATATTTTGCCAAAGAAATACAATCAATAGGAAATATGAAAAATTGGCTCACACCATTACAGAGGCTGAGAGGTCCTAGAATCTGTAAGCTGGGGACCAAGGCAAGTCAGTGATATTATTCAATCCAAGTTCAATGTTCTGAGAGCCAGACAGCCAGTGGCATAAATCCCATTTGGAAGGCAAGAGATGAGATATCCCAGCTCAACTGGGAGGCAAGAGAAAGGAAAAGCCCCTCCCTCCCCAATTTGTTGTTCTATTCAGGGTCTCAACAGATTAAACTTATGTCACTCACATTTTCTGAGTCTATTGATTCAAATGCCAGTCTCATCCAGAAGCACCCTCATGGGCACACCCAGAAATAAAGTTAATTGTGGCAACTCACAATCAGTCTGGTCAACACAACATTCATCATCATCATAGCATTACATCACTAGGAAAATTTTTCTCTACATTTTTTAGAATTTGCTCATAGAGTGGTACCAAAATTGCTCCATATAATGTGAACAATGATTTCAGTGTAGGATAACATGGATTTTGCTTAACTTGGCAGTAATAAAAACTCATTTCAACAATAAGTCACCCCATACTCTGAGTGTCCAACACAGTCAAGGTTTATTTCTAGCTCATATCACAATATGATGAGCCAGATGGTCTAAATTTGACAACATTCCAGGCAGACCAATTTCCTTCCCTCCTGTGACGTGCCCATGTCCACCCCCAGGGAGTTGAAAATGTGGACAATTGTGTTGAAGTCTTCATGAGAAGCTTGGGGAGAGCTTATGCTTCTACCTCCCTTATGACATTGATCAAAATCTAACTACATGGCCTAATCCTAACTCTTTCAGAGGTTGCAAGGAAGTGCAGCCTTTTGGGGGGAGGAAGAGTTAAAACTGTTGAACTAGCTAGTCTACCCTAAGCACGATTTTCCTTGATTTATGAAGTTGTATTCTGATAAACCCACTGTAAGCTGAAAATACTGCAAGTCAAACCACCACTGGTCAAGTGCCATCTGTGCAGAGGAGCAGCGTGATTTTAGGGGAGTCAGGGAAAGCTTCCTGTAAAATCCAGAGCATCTGCAGACTTTGTTTGACCCTCTGCAAAGGCATCCTGTGGTCATTTCCCAGAGACACAAAGGAACTTGAGAGATGCTTAGACTTGCTCAACTTGCATTCTCACCTTGTCTTTTTCCCCTTTTTTCACCAAGCCAGATCTTTAAACAGAAATTACCTGCCTTTTGAAATTTAAATTTAAATGGCCTTAGTCACTTACTCTCTAGTAATTTGGAGAAAGGAAGGAACATAGAACAAACCTTAACCCCAAGAAAGAGATCTGAAGCTAGTTTTCCTCTGAAAAAATACACAACTAGGATGAACAGAACCCCATGACCACAGTTCCTTGACATTTGTCCAATAGGTAAGACTTTGAAATCATTTATGAGACATCCTAAGAATTGAACTGAAGCCCAGATATGGTACTTCACTCTTTTCAACATTTTGAACACATAATTACATGCCAGACATGCGCAAAGCTCTATATTTACTTAAATACAGCAGTCTCTGACAGAAATACTCTTGTGCTCATTTTGTGGATGAAGACAGCAAGGCTTAGATTGGCTAGATAATAAGTCCACAACCCCACTCATCAGTACTGGAGTTTGGGATTTAAACACAAGCCACTGGCGTCCAAAGATATGCTGGTGACCTCTGTCAGATATCACTGGAGCTCAAGTTTTCCACCCTACCTGAGCCTATAATTTGTGAGGTGGGTACATTTCAGGTTGAAGATGAGGTTACAGGTAATTGTAAGCATGTCTATATGTTAGCAGATTCTTCCTTATATACTATTTTTTGACTTACTGGTTAGGTTTATGATGTTGAGGAAGCTGTAGTGAAGCAAACTCTAACTTAAGCCTGATGTTTATCACACTATGTCTTGTGAGAATTAGTTTTCAAAGTCTACTCACTAAAAGGAGCATGTGACCTATTATAACTAATCATCACTATCATAACTAAGGTACCACCATTTGATAAACAGTGGGAAGTAGTGATTTTCTTTAATTGCCATTTTCATGTTGTAGGTATAAAAGCCACATAGAGCACTTCTCAAAAGCCATTCTTCACTTTGATGACAGTCTGTGACAGAGAGACTAGTCATTAAGCAAATAGAAACAAAAAATGGGGGTTGAAAGACAAGAGAAAAAGTTCTTTAAGTCGAGGCTGATTTGATGTCATTAAAAAGGAAAGGAGTTTAAAATGAATCCTACACGGGCTAATCCCTTAACCTCCCTGAAACTCAGTTTACTCACCTTTAAAATGGAGTCACTGTTCCCTACTTTGTCAGGATCTTGTCCAACAGGCTCAGAAGATATGCAGTGACTGGTAGGTTGGAGTAGGAAAGGCTTCTGGACCCAAATAAGACTGAAAAACGGTAATGCACTCTGCTCCATCCACCTAGCATTTTCCAAATATATATGAAAATGGAACCCTTTAAAAAACTTCATGGTGTGGAAGTTCTTTAGAACACATTGGGCTATGTCATCACTTGGATTAGATGAGAAAATAGAGAGGTGAACTGATGATCTTCCTGCTGCACAACTTTTAGCTTAAGTTCCTGACGCCTACTCAGAGCACCCTATTCAAGTACAACGTACATTCCATGTCCTTCTCTAGGTTTGCCAGTGCTTGGGGACTTGACTTTTGTCTGTGAGTGGAGAGTAGCCATAGTACATGGTACATGTCAGATGGGGATGTGAGTTGGCAAGACAGTACCCTTGGAAATAATGAAAGTCAGCCTCTGATTTCAGAGCCCAGAGGGGAGGCTTGCATTCATAAACAGTATAAGCCAACAGCATGCCCTGGACAAAGATGTCTGCACTCTTTGGGCCAGAGTAAATAATCAAATGGATTTTGACAATGAAAAAATGCATGATACACTTGAATCAGCAACGTAATTAAGACTTGTAGCAATCGAGGTCTCTGGCCTCAGTTATTTTACCCTTTTCCTCTGGAGGAAGTGCCTTGAGCCACTGACTGCTCTCAGTCGAATGGGTAATAGACCCCTGACATATCTTGTTTCTGGCAATCACCCTGGACATAATTCTTTGTTTACAGCACTGCTATAGAAAGCTTGATGAATACTTAGAAGAAAATAGAATTAGGACCTAAGGACCCAGTTAAATCAACTTAGTTGAACATAGGCATTGCTTTGTGTAGAACTGGAAAAGATAGCCATGAGAGAAAGTGGTTTTAACATACACCCAGAGAAACTATATATTATACACATAATATGTAAGAGGCAATTATGGCCCAGTAATCTACAGTGTATCACTACCTAGCAATCAGATTGACGTATTCTAATGAGACCCATGTTGTTTGTAATCAGACTGCATTGCTTATTCCGATCTCTATTCCATAAGATGCACTTTTTAATGGCTCAGATTGCACCAGATGCTATAAGAAATAGCATTCCATTTTATTCCATTACCAGCATTTTTCCCTCTTCCAATTAGCATAATTTAAAATCAGCCAGAGGCAAATGTGAGGGGCTGAAAAGTTGCAAAGAAGTTCAAGAAATACTTGATAGAAAAAGGCAATGAGACATACACGCACATTTTTTTTTTTAAATATGGGCAAGAAAACATTGCAATTTATAGAGTTCTTGTTCTTTAAATTGTTCAGAATTTATTCTTGTGAATTTTTG